GCGTGGGGAATCACGGTCATTTCTTTCAATCAACTTGCATGAATTCGGCGTGACTATAAAAATACACAAATAATTTCGTCCTGCCAATGTCGGTTCTCTGTTCCCTCTAAAGTCGTGGTCCTCCAAACAGTCATAAAATAGGGGAAAGTGGCATAAAGAAATGTATTCATTTTGTCAGGGTATAATAATAATAATAATTACGGCGACCAGCTTTCCCCTGCAATCACTCTCCTAACAAGCTCCTAGAGGTGGAAAAAAATATAGAACCATAAAGAAGGCCCTATCCCTTCTCCCCAGAAAAAAGAAAAGGGCACAACAATTGGGGAAGCCATTTTGATTCAATGCGCCCAAGATCCACACACACACACGCCAAAAAGAGCATTCATCCAAGACCCACACAAACGCAAATAAATAAATTCATGAGTTGTATTTTATGGCGGCCGGGTGGGTCGAAACCCCCACAGGACGGCATTCTTTAAAAGTCCCCTGCAACCGCCGGAGTCCACTCTGCGCGGGGAGCAGTAGTGGTAGGCAGGATAAACAAAGGAAACTACCGTCGATACCGTGCAGCGCGCAGCACCATTGAAACCTAAATTAATTAATGCACAACGAAATGCCGTGGTCAAACACGACGCGATACGAAATACCTGACCCTATCTGAGCACACCTGCTTTCCGAATGCTTCTACACATTCGCTGAGTTCAAAGAGAAACAGGGGCCGCGCCAACAAATCCTTTGCCCATAACCAAAGCTAAACAAAGCAGGGCGCGTCGATATGTTCTGAAGAAAGGTTTCATCCATTCTCCCGCACAACTCCTCTTCCCACAAAATCGCCACATTCTCTTCCTCTATTGCCTTCTTTTCCCTTAAAGAGGGCAAAGGGGTTTAGTCAATATCCGAGAGACCTTGCCGAGGGCGCTGAGGCAAGAACATCTCGCCGTTTGAACCCGTTGGTGTGTCAGGAGCGCCCTGCGGCATGTCACGAACATCCCGATTTCGACGGCTCTCCTGGAAAAAAGAATCTTTTCTGCTCGGCTGTCCATCGTCGTCGTGTCCGCCCTCAACTCCCTTCTCGCCACCGGAATGCGCTTCACTCCCCTGTTGCTCATCATTTCCTTCCGTCGCCGCATCGCCGTGGGGCGAGTTGCTCGCCTCGCCATCCTCAGTCAACAGGAAAAAACACACGAAGCAAAAAATCATCAACGTAGAAAATAAAAAAGACCCGAGGAGAAAATACACCGGAATGAGGGCCGCATGGAGTGAAAAAACATCCCCAGCAGCACCGTGACGGGCACGGTCCAAGTCGTTCAGCCGCCTAGATACAATTGAAACCGATGCAAGGACAAGGCCAACAGCAATAATGAACGGGATGGATATGACAAAAATATTGCAGCTGCCCGCAGGATTTCCTCGTAATTTTTGGATGAAAATTCGGTACAAAGTCGAGTCAAGAAGTGTCAGAACACCAAAGAAGTAGAATGGCAGCGCCAAAACCACAAAGTAATTTGTCGCAATGACCTCGTCCACGCGACACGCAATAAGAGCGCTGAATACCACCACAGAAATCCCTTTAGGAATGCCCACAACAAAAAAAATATTCACGCACGCCCACAGTTCGTCGTGTCCGCTATACTTTAGTCTTTCACGCTTTTGCCTCGTGGGGGGCCTTGTAATGATGCCCAATAGAGTTGACGACGCCTCAAATGAAAATTATTGCCGCCACGCAAAGATGTCATGCCGTTTGCATCCCTGGCAACAGGCACAAGAACGGTGAGTACAATAAGAGAAAGTACGATCAGCGTCCACAAGAAGACTCCTACACGTAACGTGCACATCGACACAAAAAAACAACCAGCGTTGGAATACCGATAATGATGTCAACAATGAACAGCGGTGAAAAGACCTTGACGTAGTTCCAATAGGCTCGACTGTGGTCGTTCACAGAATGAGCGTCCCGCGCCACAAGACGACCCGCAACATATGCAACAAGAAAAGCAGTAAAAATGACAACCAACGATGCTGCTACGAAAGGTATGCATGCCATAATGCACAAAATCGAACGTCCCCCAAGCTGGAGAATCAGCACTTCCGAGACCGGATTATCCACAAAGCTGGCTCCAAACCTGTCGTATATTTTCCTCTTTTGGGGATTCAAGAGCACCTCGTACGCCGACTGTACCTCCTTGAACCTCTCCGCCCCCTCCGGTCCCGCCCTATCAGGGTGAAACCTTAACGCCAGCTGGCGGTAGTTCCTTCGGATTTGCTCCTGCGTCGCATCGCGTGGGAGTTCAAGACTCTGATAGTAATCCGTCATTTCTGTCCTTTCCAAATCCTACTCCTTCTGCTGCGATCACCCAACAACGCGCAAGGAAAGTAGCGCACATGATTGACACCCCCATTCCTTCCCCTCCCCTCCCTCAAAAGGAGGAGGCACAACAACGGTAGGAAAAAAACACAAGCATCACAGGCAAGAGCGCCCCAAATTTTAAAAAATAAATCACAGAAAAAAAAAAAGCCAAATTGCCGTGACGACAAAAGCAAAAACACACACACACACAAAAAGAGCTCCTAGAATATTCACCTGGGCCGCTGGCCAGACCTGCGGCTGTCAATAGGATTCACACAAGAAGGGAATGAGAAGGGGTGAATGGAATGGGGACGGGGGTTCGCCAAATCCCCAATGAGAGTTTACACCAAGTGAGCGCATATTTATATATGCACATTATGGTGGCTACTATCGTAACTTGATCGCTCCATCCGGATTGGGCGTGCATGTACATATACATACATAAGTGTGTGTGTATGTATGTATTCACAACCTACAAAGTGGAAGACTTTGGGCTCCTCCAGCCGCAAGACGCAGTCGCAAGGTAAGAACCACAAAGGGGGCAAGTGGGACGGCAGAAACAAAAGTAATTAAAACTCATCCAGAAGGTATCGGTTCCCTGATTGCTACCCTCGGGGTCTTCTAAAAGATTCATAAAATAGGAAAACCTCCCAAAGAAATATATTCTTTCAATCAGGATATACATGTATTTGGGCAGCCAGCCTTCCTCGCGAACACTCCGTTCACAAACTCCTAGTCTTCTGCTCGTCCACACACTTCATTTACTGCCAATCGCAAAACACACATAATAGAACCAAAGGACCATCACACAAAGCCGAGGCAAATAAATAACAATGGAGGAAATCACGAACTACACAGGCGCCTCGCACACGCACACACAGACCCTCTCTCCATTCACTCCACCACTCACAAGGGTGAAGACATGGGTAGAAAAATCCCGCCGCACAACGCATGCACGAGGACGCACGCAGAGGCACCGCCAGCCACGTCGCACCGCAACAAAGGGCCATGGGCACAGCACACCCACGGCCCCAACAAGAGGGACGGGACGCATCCAAGTACACGCCGCAGTCCTTTACTTCCCGCTTCACCGACGGATAGGCATCACGCCTCACAGCAGGCCGTGGCATCCCACACTCACAAATGAGGCACGGCGCACACAATCCGCTCCCCCGAGTGCACTCAGCAGGCCGGCGCCCAGTCACCCTCGTGCCATCGCAGAGGGGAACACAAACAATCGTCGTCGCGGACCATCGGTGCCCCTAGCGGGAAAGAAATTAGAAGAAATGGAGGCATGTCAGCAGCACAGTCAGCAGAGAGACAAAAAAAGGGACACGGAGACACACAATGACATGGGTCACGGCACAGACGGAAAGAGACGCAACGATTTACCAAAAAAAAGAAAACATAAAAAAGAAAAAAAAAAGAAAAAAAAAAAGAAAGAAAAAAAAAACGATTTGGCGGGAATTTCATTTCGTTTCCTCTGGAGTACAATACGACCGTGTTTTTGAGTTCATACATACTGTCCACACAGAAAAAACAACAAAAAAAAACACATTGTTCCACGAGCCCACACAACATTCTTCACATTCCATGCGGCATCCGGCCTGCTCCTCCACTCCTCCTCTCGTGCAGTCCGTGGGACGCACGGCAATGAGGCCGGCACCGCGTGTGGGTAACAAAAGCAAAAGCAAACAAGAGGGGGAAACACATCGCTCATGACGGTGCGCAGCAAGCGACCATTTGGGGGAAAACACACAGGGGTGCTGGTTATTTCAACAGAGCACCAGCAAAAAAAAAAAAAAAAAGAAATGAAATGAAATGAAAAAGTAAAAAAAACAAAAGAAATTAAAAAAAAAAAAAATGAAATGAAAAAAGAAAAAAAGAAAAAAAAAGAAGTATTCTTGACAAATTTGAGTGCGTAGTGCTGGGAAGCTGCACATTTGTTGTTCCACGAAAAGCCGCAATTCCACCCTCCCTCACACCTCAGCAGAGGGCCGCAGTGCCCCACAGCCCCAGAAGCAACAACAACACCCGAGACACACACACATGCACGGTGCTGTCACCAATTAGAGCCATGGCCGCCAACTCGCGGAACTCAAGCAAAATGTCGTGGTCCGAGGGTATTGTTGCGTTGAGCTCCGATGGAATCTTGGTTTCCCCAGGCGCTGTGCTCGGAGGAGCCGGTGCGGCATCAGCGCCACCCGACACGTTAGTGCTGCTGAATGAATCGGGGTCGCTGTTCGTGCCCACGCTCTCCGAAACATGCGTGTCCTCGTCACGGTCAGCGTATTGTTCTTCGCTGGCGAGCGTGTTGGCATTGGAAGGCTCGTCGTGCACGCCCTCCAAAACATCAAGTGAAGTACCGTACGGCGCCCAATCGTCGGTGTTGCCGTTCTGCGGAGAGTCTTCTTCCGCCATTCCCACACCAGCTGAGGTGGAGGGGACAATGATATCAGGAAATGTTTGCTTGAAATCTGCTGGGCCACTTTCACTTTCTGATGTTTGCGCTGGTGAGTGTTGAATTCGTGGTGATGATGTGGCGTCTTGCTGCGCTTCAGGCGTGATGACGGGCACATTGGCGGGATGACGAGAAGGTTCACTCACATTGGTAGTTTGAGCCGCAACTTCCTGGGCCGGCACCTTCGCCGCTGCAGCAGCGAATGCGTCCTTCTTCATTAACGCATTGAGCTTTGCTTCGTTCAATGCGCGGTTGTACAGCAGGACGTTGCTCACCGTCACATTAATGTCTTCCGAGTTGCTCTTGTTGTCCCCGCCAATGTAAAAGTGCGAGATGCCGTGGGACCCCAACAGCGTTCGCAACCTTTGAGTAAAGTTGTAATCCTCCCCGTCCTCATAATCTTTGGTGTAGTATATCTCCTTTCCGTCCACGTACACACTCACGCCATCATAATGATGCATTTCCAGTGCCACCTGATATTTTTTGTTTGTTTCCCATCCAACATCGTCATAATGCACCGAGGGATTCCGAAGACTCTCATTGAATGTTACCTCCCACTTTTTGTGGGTGTACGACAGACCAAAGAGCAGGGTGCCTTGTGCATCGTTCATCCTCACACCCATCAAAGGGATAGAGCTGCTTCCCTTCGGTTCCTTGTGAATGGACACTGTCGCCACAAGAGTGAACTTGTAGTTCGCAAAGTAGTACGGCACATTCTGCCCCATTTTGCCAACAGGCCACTCCGCCCCTGCTCCGGACCCCTCGAACGTCAATCCACCATCCGCCGCTGGCTTCCCTTTGTTCACTGTGGCATTCACCCCGAGGTACTCGTCTGCCCACGTGCTTTCAGTTGACGTGTTGGATAAGAAGCCAAACAGCCCTTTAGTGAGGGCTTCATGACAGTCACTGCGCCAATAATTCTTCCATTCATTCCTGCAGCCGTATTCCCTCGCAATGTACGCGTCCCTCTCCTTCCATGCAGCCACCACCTTCTTCATCTCCTCCAACTTCTCCGTCAGATCCACAAAAGTAATGTTGTAGTTATCTCCCCCTGCAGCAACCTCGTACGAGCAGTACAGTTTCTTCTCTTCCTTCGGTCCTTCCACTTTCAATGGCTGCGCTTCGACCGTGGCGTACAGCAGAGTGCTGGCGGCGACGTTCTCATTCTCAGCGGATATCGGCCCAACATCATAAATTCGTTGCATGTCCGTCAGCCACAAGTGAAGTCGGCCCGTTTCCTTACCGTTCTTCTCGGTATATACCGGCCGACTGACGAGGATGTATTTCTGTCCATCAATCATCGCGCTGACGAAGCCACCCTGCACGCCGTGCCCTGTACGATTCAGCGAGTTGCCCCACACGCGTGAAAGAGTGTCGTATTCCTCATACCACCATCTCCCCATGGCGCTTGACCAGTAAACCCTGCGGCTGCCGTCATCACACGACGTCATCATGATAATTTCATCATTCCATTCAAGGACCGCAGGCTGGATGCATCCCTCATCACTCGTATCCTCCGAGAACTCCCAACCATAATAAGTACCGTTGGCAAGGATGACCAAAGAAACGTTCTTTCCATCATGGGTCAAGGCTTGAATAGGCAGCAAATAGCGACTTTTGTCCTCCATCCTAATGCCTGCGCCACCACCACCCAGGAATTGTTTGAAACGGTCGCGGTTAGCACTGTTATTCCTCCAAAAGTCATAAGGAAGTTTCGACGTGTCTGCAAACTGTTTCCACTCAAACCGTTCCTCTTCCTCATCGTCTCTGTAACGCCGAACCATAACTTCCGCCATCCTGGGCATCCAATATTTACCATCAGTCAACTCCGTCAATGGAGTCGTTGACGTGCCATAACCCCCGACAAGAGCATTTGTATCATAACTATTACCATTCGCAATGGTAGTTGGGCTCAACAGGCGGTCAATTTTCACGTCGTAATGATCAAACACGATGGCAGTTCCATTTGTCCACGTCCCTCCACTGCTTATCATCGACTTTGCAGCGATACTTACGCACGATTTTTGATCCGTGGAGTTTGTGTAATGCGCTTCAACAGTGGCCACAACAAAACCACTCACGTAAGCAAGAGAGGGTGCACGGAACGAATGAAACGCTTGTACCAAAGATTCGTTCTCTGAATCAGAAAATGATTCATTTACTTGAAAGATGATTCTTTTCCCTGAATTACTCGCCTCAGCGGGGGCAGCTCCACTGCCGCAGCACACCATAACGAAGAGGAGGAGCAGCACCGCGGGATCAAACACACGACGGGACATGCTGGGCATTTGCTGCTCACTTTCTCTTCCTTCCTCCTTCCGCTGGATCCGCTCACGCCGCAACGGTTGTGTTTTTGCTGGGTGCTTGACTGCAGCAACACTTGAGAGTATACAAATATGTGTGTGTGG